GGTGCACCAGATGCTCCAATATCTCCTGGGCTACTAGATGCGGAAGGAAGGCACCTGATCCATCTACGAGGAATCCTGCTGGCACATTTACAAAACGGATCCGAGGTGCAGTTAAATCTAGCGAATCGACTCCCCCGATTCAGTTCGTCTCTCTCCCGTCGCCTTTTCCTTTACCACCGGACCAGGCTGAGATAGGGTTACACAAAATGGGGAATCTGCTCTCTCTCTCGATCCAAATCATGTGGTCCACCCGCGGCTCGATGCGATCAATTGTGTCTGCATAGCGGCGCCACACCTCCGGAGATATTGACACTACGGTTGAATCGAAGCTGGCCATCATCCTTTACATCAGGTGATCAGAGGTATGGGCATGAATTTGATTCTTCTATTTTCCATGTGCATCCATAGTTAGTTCTTCCGCTCATCAGTTTCCCCAATTTGTCTAAAACGAGTGGCATTTGGGAATATGAATGCATAGAAGGGGAATTGCTAAACCTAGGTTCACATATATTTTTGGATTTGGTTTCTCTTATTGTTACTGTCGTTTGTAGCCAGCCTGCTATATGTCATCCTCATGTGACAATTTTTGAACTCTGCAAAGCACCATTTAATCTTTTCCTCTGTGTTTTATTGCTCTGTACTTTAGCATAATCCATAATATATATTTTTCGCAGCAGCATCAGAAATTCTTGCTCTGTACTATAGCAAGTTCATAAAAAAAATTCTGGCACCATAATTTAGCAAGTGAGAACAACTGCAACAGTTCAAGAATCTTGCGCATATTTGCTTCTTCCTTTAGCCATCTGTCAAGTTCATATTCTATTCTTATAATTCATCACCACTGTCTTCCTAATTCATTGAATTAATGGTTGGGAGATATTGTGACTAATGTTGTTCCAGTTGACTTAAATGCATTATGTTGTTGATCGAAACTAGGAATGGTGTGACTGTTTGAGGATGCATGAGCTACAAGTTTACCCTCATAATCTTATCCTCTTTCACAACAGTTTGAATGAAAAAAAAACAAATGATGTGCTCTCTATTCTGTTTCTTGGTTTTTACAAATTTAAATAGTAAGTGCACTTACGATGTCCAATTTGAAATTTGTAAAAGCAGTACTACTTGTTTCTGATCCTGATTTTATTTTACAGCAATCCTCCAAAAAGTAACACCTTTGATATGTGCTGCTTGCCTGCTTGTTAGTAGGGCAGTCATCTTACTTGTTCCCTGCAGCTCTTGAATGACTATGTATTGTGTGATAAGGACCACAAAAGGCTTCTTTTAATCATGAATCCACAAGGATTTTAGGAGTACGAAGTAAGACCAAATACTACTGAAAGTTTCAGCAATACAGAGATTAATCTTTGTCCAACATATCGTTTTGTTTATATTTTTGTATGTACATCTGAAACCTGATGTTTATGTATTTCGGGTCCTCTCTGAATGTTCAGCTACATGTTCATCTCTAGAAAAAAATTGCCTGTTGTCCAAGCTAGTGTTCGAGTTGATTTTTTTCTCCTTTTGCAGGTTGTGGCATCTCTTTCAGCTGGTCAGAAGAGCTTCAATACACAATGGTGGTTTAGTTATTGTACTCTGAATGCTTCAGTACACAATGGGACCTGTCCAAATAGATGTATGAGTGGGGGAACAATTGCAGATACAGGAGTTCGACAATGTTGACGTAGAGTTGGGCCTCCCTGTTGGAACAACCAAACCCAAGATGTCTGATCTTATGCCCCTGGTTGATTGTATGGAAAGAAGAATGTCTGCCAGCTAATCCTTTCTCGCTCAAGGTGGGAGATTGCAATATTTGAACTCTACTCTATCCTCATTGCCTATTTTCTTCCTCTGTAGTTTGCTAATCAACCCAGGCATTCTGAAGCAACTACAAAGAATTCAGAGACAATGTCTTTGGAGGAAAAACAGGCAAGAACCTGCTCCTTCCCTTGCTGCTTGGGAGCTTATTTGTAGGCCAAAGAACAAAGGAGGGCTGGGCATCTTAAACCTGGGTATACAAAATGCTGCCCTTCTCATGAAACACCTGCACAAGTTCCTCAGTAGAGCTGATATTCCTTGGGTTAATCTTATTTGGAACTCCTACTACCATGAATTAGTGCCCCAAGGAACTGCACCTTGTGGCTCCTTTTGGTGGAAGGACATACTCAAGCTGCTTGATCAATTCAGAGAATTTTCCTGGGTCCAGGTTAACCAAGGAGATTCTGCTTTGTTCTGGTTTGATAAATGGAAAATTGGTGATTCAGTGCTGCCTTTGCAGAACAAATTTCCAAGGCTTTTTTTTCTTATGCTAATGACCCCATGGTTTCTGTTAAAGATGGCCTTCTTTGTTCTGATCTCATTGCCTGGTTTAATCCCCCTCTGTCCAAGCAAGCTTTTCAGGAATTCAACTCTTTGCAGTCCCTCATTGTTTCCCATGAGAGGAATCCCAACTCTAAGGATGTCTGGTTTTGGCATGGTTCTGTTAAGCCATATACTCCAAAGTTTTTTTTACACTGCCATGCACTCTCACCTCTCCTTTAACCCGTTACTTTTATGGGTATGGAAAAGTTGCCGCACGATGAAAATCAATTTTTTTGCTTGGATGCTTATTATGGACAGATTGAACACTAAGGATATGGTGGAGAGAAGGCACTGGCATATTGATGATGGTATTCAATGTGTGCTCTGTCCAACTCAGGCTCGGGAGGATAGAGATCATCTTTTCTTCACATGTAACTTCAGTCAGCGTGTATGGAACTACTTGCAGATTGATTGGGGTCTGGGCTTTACTATGTCTGAAGTTACTATGCAAGCTATGAGGGATTTTGCCAAGCCTTTCTTTGCTGAGGTGGTCTTTACTGCTTGCTGGAATATATGGTTG